CAGTTAAAATTGAACAAGGGTGAAGGAAGATGCTGCAAGAGGACTCTGGTCCCTCAGGTTTTGGGAGGAAGTAGAGCACAGAATATTCAGGAAGATAGTACCTTGGACTCTCACATTTTATTTTATTTTATTTTATGTATCTACTTTTTTTTTGAGACAGAGTCTCACTCTGTCACCCAGGCTGGAGTGCAATGGTGTGATCTCAGTTCACTGCAACCTTCGCCTCTGGGGCTGAAGCAATTCTCCTGCCTTAGCCTCCCAAGTAGCTGCGATGACAGGCATGCACCACCATTCCCAACTAATTTTGTATTTTTTAGTGGAGATGGAGGGTTTCACCACTTTGGCCAGGCTGGTCTCGAGCTCCTGACCTCAAGGGATCCGCCCACCTTGGCCTACCAAAGTCCTGGGATTATAGGCGTGAGCCACCATCCCCAGCCTGGACTCTCACTTTAGAAAGGTAACTGAGGTGCACGGTCAGCTAGGGGAGTTCTCCTGAAAGACGGTACCATGAAACAGTGGGGCAGTAGGGCTACGTGTGAGATTATGTACACTTGCCACTTTTAGCCATCATGGAGGAGAAACCAAGAGGTCGAAGGCTCACAGGAAGTATGCTACTCTGATCTGCTAGGGAAAATCCAAGACTAAAATCACTCCCACCAAAAACAGCTGTGACATGTGAAGCTTCCCTGTGACCAGGTAGATATTCTGCAAACCCACAGAAAGAGAAAATGCTGGTGTAAAAATGCTTAGAGACAGTAGAATCAAACTCCACTTTGTTCACTATCCCAAATTCATCCCATAACCCCTCACTCTCACTGTTACAATGAGCTCATCCAGGAAGCATTGCAGGAAGCATAATCATGAAGAAAATAAGCAAACTAATGCGAATGGAGAGGGAGAAGAGGAAGGAAACCTAACAAAGGATACACCTCAGAAATGTTATAAAACAAAGTAAATAGAAATTATGACCAAAGTTCTTTATGATATGACAGATATAAATGTTCAACCTGAAATAAAAGCTCAAAGAAGAGATACAAGAGCACAAGAAAGAAATGACAGAAAAATAGAAGGGGACAACAAGTGTGCTGGCAAATCTCAAGAAACAAATGGAAAAGAAAAATTAAACCATTTCAGAAATGAAGATAACACCAGAGGCAGTTGGAAGAAAACTAGATAATGCAAAAACTCAGTGAGGAGTATGAAAATGGGACTCAGAAAATGGAGCAAAATTAATTTGAGGCTGAAGGCAGCGGCTCACACCTATAATCCCAGCACTTTGGGAGGCCAAGTTAGGTGGATCACCTGAGGTCAGGAGTTCAAGACCAGCCTGGCCAACATGGCAAAAATCCATCTCTACTAAAAAAAAAAAATTAGCTGGGTGTGGTGGCAGGCACCTGTAATCCCAGTTACTTGGCAGGCTAAGGTAGGAGAATTGTTTGAACCTGGGAGGCAGAAGTTGCAGTGAGCCGAGATCGCACCCTTGCACTCCAGCCTGGGTGATAAGAGTGAAACTCTGTCTCAAACAAAAAATAATAATTTGAAAAGTATAGAGTTTAAAAGAAATAGACAAAAAAAATGATAGATCAGAAAAGCTATTTGAATAAAGATGCAAAACCTCTGGTGGATCTATAGATTCCTGCCATGGAGACAAAAATACCAACAGTTAAAAGTATTCTAATTATGTTAGAGGAGTTCAAGGAAGAGCTCTGATTAAGAAAACTTAACCGGACACCCTGTGTTAGTTATCTACTGAGGCATGACAAATTACCCCAAAACGTAGTGGCTTATAAAAAGAAAAACATATATTATCCTATGGTTTTGGTAAATCAGGTATCTAAATGTGGCTTAGCTGGGGCTTCTAGCTCAGTGTCTCTAGTGAGGCAGCAACCATGATGTCTACAGCAGCTACAGTCCTATCAGGGCTGGATAGGGGAGGATCCATTTCCAAGCTCACTCATGTGGTTGTTGGCAGGATTCAATTCCTCAAGAGCTGTTGAATTCAGAGCTTCGGGTTTTTTTCTGGCTGCTGGCTGGAGGCAGTCCTCAGATCCTTGCCACATGGCACTTCCATAAAGCAGCTCACAATGTGACAGCTGGCTTCTCTCTGAGCTAGGGGTGCCAGATAAAATACAGGATGTCCAATTATTCAAATTTCAGATAAAAAAATAACTTTTTTGTATAAGTATGTCCCAAATATTGCACAAGACATACTTATACTAAAATATTATTCATCGCCTATCTGAAATGCACATTTACCTGGGCATCCTGTATTTTTATTTGCTAAATCTGGCAACCCTAGTTGGGATGAGTCAGTTAGAGAGTGAGAGAGGAAGAGCAAGATGTAAGTCAGAGTTCCTGTTATCTAATACTGGAGGAGATACCCCCATCATTTTTGCTGTATCTTATTTGTTAGAAACAAATCATCAGGTATGGACCACCCCCAAGGGAAGGGGATTTCACAAAGACATGAATTCTACAACATAGAGACCATTCTGAGACACCTTAGCGGGTGGCTCATACACAGTCACACCCATGCAAGGAAATCATACACAAGAAAGAAATTAAAATTAGGCTTACGCTAAAACGTATCTACAGCAACATTCAAACTACAAAACTATGAAATAATGTCTACACAGTTCTCAGGGTGGTAGCAGGGAGGTGGGGAGTAATTGAAATTCAGATATAAAGGCCATGGAAATACACATGATCCTTGGCTTATGATGGGGTTACATCCCAATAAACCTATCATAAGTTGAAGATATCCTAAATGGAAAATACATTTTAATACACTTTACCTACTGGTGTAGTTTAGATGTTTGTCCTCTCCAAGTCTCATGTTGAAATGTGATCCCCAGTGTTGGAGGTGGAGCCTAGTGGAAGGTGTTTAGGTCGTGGAGGTGGATCCTCATGAAAGGTTTGGTGCCCGCCCCACGGTAATGAGTGAATTCTTGCTCTATTAGTTACCATGAGATCTGCTTGTTTAAATAAAAATAAATAAATAAAGCCTGGCATCTCCTCCTCTCTCTTGTGCTCCCTGTCTCACCGTGTGAAATGCCTGCCCCTGCCCTTAGCCATCCTCCATTATTGTAAGCTTCCTGAGGCCTCACCAGAAGCAGATGATAGTGCCATGCTTCTTGTACAGCCTGCAGAACTTTGAGCCAAATGAACCTCTTTTCTTTATAAATTATGCAGTCTCAGGCATTCCTTTATAGCAACACAAAATAGACTGACACACATACCAAATGTCATAGCTTATCCTAGCCTACCTTAAATGTGCTCAGAACACATACATTAGCCTACAGTTGGGCAAAATCATCTAACACAAAACCTATTTTAAAATAAAGTGTTGACTATCTCACGTAATTTATTGAATGCTGTAATAAAAGTGAAAAACAGAATGGTTATACGGGGACTTGAACTACTGTTTCTACTGAATGCATATCGCTTTCACACCATCATAAAGTCAAAAAGCAGACCATCTGTATGTGCAAATCCTCAAGATTTCTGGGTGTAAAGCTGATATGGTTTGGCTCTGTGTCCCCACCCAAATCTCATCTGGAATTGTAATCCCCATATGTCAAGGGAGGAATCTGGTGGGAGGTGATTGGATTATGGGGGTAGTTTCCCCCATGCTGTTCTTGTGAAAGTGAGTTTCATGAGATCTGATGATTTTTAAAGTGACAGCTTTTCCTGGGCTCACACTTCACTTCTCTCACCTGCCACCATATAAGACGTGCCTGTTTCCCCTTCCACCATGATTGGAAGTTTCCTGAGGCCTTCCCAGCCATGCTGAACTGTGAGTCAATTTCTTTATAAATTACCCAATCTCTGGTAGTATTTTCATAGCAGTTTGAGAACAGACTACTACAAAAGGTTTTAGAGCATTTTCTAAAACGAACAATAAAATGGAAAGAAAAGTCCAGTTCATCATGATGCAGTCACAAAGGAAAACCATTGATTTCATGCATCAACATACAATGCGAAACTAAAGCTAAATAGTTTTGGGAAACACAAATTTATGCTTACCTTGACAATACATAATAATGTAATTCACCAAACTCATGAATTGGGATATGGAAAGAAAGTGGGGGATCACATATGTGGGCTGACCTCCCTGTCTTTCAGAACAGGATAGGGAGGGCAGTCAAAAAAGAGTATATAGAGGTGATACATAAAATAATAGAACTATAAGTATATGATTCCATTTATAAGGTTAATCCCAAGAGAAACAATGGAAAATAGTGTAACCAAATTAATCAGTGATGGAAGTATCAGGGTAGAGAGAGAGACAGAAGACAGTAGGAGTATACTGTTGTAGATGAAATGTTTGTGTCTTGCTCTCCCTAAATACACATGTTGAAATCCAAATCCCCAAGGTGATGGTATAGAAGGCATGATCTTTGGGAGATTATTATATCATAAAGGTGAAGGCTTCGTGAATGGGATTAGTGTCCTTATAAAAGGGACCCCCCAAAACTCCCTGGCCCTCTTTCTGCCATGTGAGGGTACATTGAAGAGTCAGCAGTCTACACTTAGAAGAGACCTCTCGTTGGCACCCAGCAGTGCTAGCACCCTGATCTCTAATTTTCAGCCTCTAGCACCGTGAGAAATAAATTTTCTGTTGTCCGTGAGTCACCCAGTCTGTGGTCATTCATAATTTCCAACCTGAACTAAGACATATACCAAGTTTCTCATCTCATATAAGGGGGCCATTAGACAGTATTTAAAGGTGAAATTCAAGAAAATAAATGAAATAACCACAACAAGAACAAAAAGAAAGTCTTCATAACCTTTCATGGTATCAGAAGAAAAGAGTAGTTAACAAACAAAGAGAAAAAATACTATAGAGTAAAAGTTGTGTTTTCTTTTTTTAAAAAAAGGGGCATTCAGAATAGAAGAAAATAGAAAAACAAGATGATAAGAATAAAATAAGTTGTCTCATCAATTAACTTACATCAGACCAACTCACCTTTTAAAATCTTTTATTCCCTTAAATATCTGCAGGCTGTACCAAAAATCAAAACCGGAGGGAGACATCTAAAACAAAATAACCTGAAGAACTGAAAATCAAGGGGTGGTCAATAATTCAACAAACAAAAGTAAATAAGAAAAGCGAAAAATCATTATGTTGGACAAGGAAGCGTTCTTTAAAATAATAAAGGATATAGTTTATAACATAATAAACATTCCCCATGAGTTACTACAAATTAAGTAAAAATAAATCAGTGTTTGGTTAATAAAATTTACCCTTCAGGGACTGGGCTTGTTGGCTCAAGCCTGTAATCCCAGTACTTTGGGAGGACGAGGTGGGTGGATCACGATGTCACAAGATGGAGACCAGCCTGGCCAACATGGTGAAACCCCATCTCTACTAAAACTACAAACATTAGCTGGGCGTGGGGGCACATGCCTATAATACCAGCTACTCAGGAGGCTGAGGCAGGAGAATCGCTTGAACCCAGAAGCAGAGGTTGCAGTGAGCCAAGATCACGCCACTGCACTCCAGCCTTGCGACACAGCAAGACTCCGTCTCAAAAAAAAAAATACCCTTCAGGAGAAACAGAAACTCATTCCCCATTGAAGATTCAAATACATCTTTCTTAGGGCTTGATAGATGAGATAGAATGACACCATGTAGTCCCAAGCCACACAACAAACAAGTCTCATGTAATATATAAGAATATATCAGAGTAAAAGAAATAAAAAGTCTTTTCGAGGATTTTCGGAACATTTCAAAGTAGAAATAACATAGAGCATGTTTTCTGAACACAAAGCATTAAAAGTATGAAATAAAAATCATGTGAAAAACAACAACAACAAAAATGCTGCGCTGTCTGGAAATTTTTAAACTTTCTCTTGATTCTTTTGCCAAAGAGAGGAACAAAACCAAAATTGCAAAATATCAAGAAAATAAGAAAAATTTAGAAACAATACATTGATTTTGTCCAGCTAAAACAATGTCAGTTTCTTGGAAGACATACATATCTTACAACACTACTTAATGGCTTTTCCAATGCTTTTTAGATGAGGTCAAAACTCTGCAAAGCCTTTCACACCCCATATGTGTGGCAGGCAGCCTCTAAGATGCCCCCCTCCATGACCTTACCTCCCGGTGTTTACATCCTTGTGTTATGTCCTCTTACAGAACGTGGGCTGGACTTAGTGACTCCCTTCTAACAAACAGAATAAGGCAAAAATGATGGATGTCACTTCCAAGATTAGGTTTTTAAAAAAGCATATTCTCTTTCTCTCTTTTTTCTCTCTTTCTCTCTCCTTCCCTCTTCTTCCCTATATTCCCTCCTGGAGTCCCCCACTGAAAAAAGCCAGATGGCATATTGTGAGTAACCCAACGTCAAGAAAACAATGTCTCTGGCCAATGACCAGTAAGAACCCGAAGCCTGCTAACGCCGTGTGAGTTTGGATGTGGATTCTCCACTAGCCAAACCCTGAGATGACTATAGCTCCAGCCAACCCCTTGATTCAGCCTGGTAGGAGTTCCTGAGTCAGAGGCACCCAGATAAGCCAGGCTCAGATTCTTGACCCACAGGAACAATGAGATAATGAGTCTTTGTTGTTTCAAGCCGTTAAATTTTGCAGCAATTTGTGATGCAGTAATAGATAATTAATACATCATGCTTCTCTCTCGCTATCTTGGGTCACTCTCCCTGTATTCACTTGGTCTGAGACACCACCTGGATGCAGCCTGTGAACAAACAAACAAACAGATCTGTTACTCAATATGGTCATCAAAGGGGAAGAGTAAAGGGCTCATATGAACAATGTTATCTCTTTAAATATTTTTAAATCAATAAATTCTCCCTTTTAAAATCCTTACAGTGATGCCCCAATCAAAAGAATTGTTCAATGAAGGAATATGGGATTCCCCATTTTTTTTTTTTTTTTCCGACATGGAGTCTCACTCTATCACCAGGCTGGAGTGCAGTAGTGCAATCTTGGCTCACTGCAACCTCTGCCTCCTGGGTTCAAGTGATTCTCCTGCCTCAGCCTCCTGAGTAGGTGGGATTACAGGCATGCGCCACAACATCCGGCTAATTTTTGTATTTTTGGTAGAGACTGAGTTTCACCATGTTGGTCAAGCTGGCCTCGAACTCCAGACCTTGCGATCCGCCTGCTTTGGCCTTGTAAAGTGCTGGGATTACAGGTGTGAGTCACCACACCCGGCCAATTCTTTTAAGTATTTATTGGAAACCACATTTGTACACTTGATGCTGTTTTTTTTCTATGCATATTAAGATCTCATTTGTCTTAACTTCCCCTATGGAGATTAGGAATGTGTCACGGTTTGTACCATGCACACTTGGCAAAGCTGAAACTATATTTCCCAGTATCCTCCTAACCTGTGCGGTTCCACATTGGAGTTGGACAAAAGAGACATTTTCAAGAGGTTGGGAGGGCAGAACAGAAGCATGACTTGTGAAGGCCACCAAGGCTCCAGTTTTTTCTTGCTCTCTTCCCTCTGCATCCAGCTCTTCTCCCCGACTCCTGAGCCTGTGGACCAACAACAGCCTTGAGTTCATCAGCAAATGCTTGGAGGGAGGCCCCTAGAGCAGAAGCTACAGAGGCAGCTTCCCACGGAACTCCACTTGAGCTGTCCCTTTGCCGCCCCACCTTGGTCCCTGGATGTGTTTGGGTTCTCATATTCAGTGGATGGTGAGCCCTTCTTTGGTTCTCATCCCCTCCCACCCGGACCTTTACTTTGTCAATTCCCTACAATTGTGCAAGGTCAAATTCCTCTCCCGTAATTCACCATAGTTCTGCTTACCAGCTGAAACCCTGACCGATACAGAAGAACTTGTCATATGAACAAAATCTATACCATCAAGCACTGTATGTGCCCAGGAAAAGCAAGCCACCCATGCTCCATGAGGCATAACTGCAGGAAACGAAGAAACCCGGAATGAGAAAAATAAGCCTGATGTTCTTGAGGGAGCAGTCATTTCTCAAACCCAGCAAGAGTGAGGACCCAGGTGAGGACTCTGTTTGTGCCTACTAACTGAACAACCTGAGTAGTGGCTTCGGAAGAAAGACGTTTCCAGAAGAATTAAAAGAAGGCTTTGAGAGATCTGGACTGTGCTCTTCATTTAGACAAACTCATGAGGACACAAACTGAGTGAGGAAGCATCCCTGAGGAAGCTGGCGTCCCAGTTTCTCTGCTGGTTCCCCTTAATATCTTCTTGACACTTTCATCTTCCCTCTCTTAGTACTACAAGCAATAATAAGCCAAGATTTATTTAGCACTTCATATGTGCCATGCAGTCCTCTAAGTACTTTTATGTATATTAACTCATCATTTTCACAAAACCTTGAAAAACATATGGTATTGTCCCATTTTCTTAAATTGAGGTAAAACTCACACAATGTAAAATTCGCCATTTTAAAGTGTATAATTCAGTGATTTTAGTACATTCACAGTGTTGTGCACCTATCACCACTATCTAATTTCAAAACATTTGCATCGCCCTGTAAAAGCAGTAACACCCCATTCTCCCTTCTAATTCCTGGCAGCCATTAATTTGCTTTCTGTCTCTTATTGATTTGCCAATTCTTGATAGTTCATGTAAGTGGAATTGTACTATATGTGGCCTTTTGTGTCTGACTTCTTTTACTTAGCAGATAATGTTGTCAAGGTTTGTCTGGTCATGTTGTAGCATGTATTGGGACTTAATTCCTTTTTATGGGTAAGTAACGTTCTATTTAATGAGCATTATTATCCCACACTGGGTTTATTCATTCATCGGTGGATAGACATTTGGGTTGTTTCTACGTTGGGCTATTATAAATAATGCTGCTATGAACATTGTGTACAAGTTTTTTTTTTCTTAATATACATTTTCTATTCTTTTGGGTATATACCCAGAAATGGAGTTGCTGGGTCGTATGTTAATTCTATGTTTAACTGGTTGAGGAACTGCCAAACAACTTTCCACAGTGGCTGTACCATCTACATCCCCAAGCTAGCAATGTCTGAGTGTTCCAATTCTCTACAGCCTTGCCAACACCTGTTATTTTCCATTTTTTAAATCATAGCCATCTAGTGGGTGTGAAGTGCTATCTCATGGGTTTGATTTGCATTTCCCTAATGACTACCGATGTTGAGCATGTTTTTATGTGTTTATGGGCCATTTGTATATCTTCTTTGGAGAAATGTCTATGCGAGTCCATTGCCCATTTTCTAACTGGGTTATTTGTCTTTTTGTTGTTGAATTGTAAATGTTCTCTATTGAGGTAAAATTCACATAATGTAAAATTCATCATTTTAAGGTGCAATTCAGTGCTTTTAGTACATTCACAATGTTGTGTACCTATCACCATTATCTAATTTCAAAATATTTGCATTTCCCCTCAAAAGCAGCCCTTTTAGGGTTAAAGAAACCCTACACCCATTACGCAGTCACTCCTCGTTCTCCCTTCTAGTTCCTGGCAACTACTAATATGCTTTCTGTCTCTTGCTGATTTGCATTGGGATACTAGATGCTTATGAGATACGTGATTTGCAAATATTTTCTCCCATTCTGTGAGCTGTCCTTTTACTTTCTTTTAGTCTCCTTTAATGCACAAAAAAAATTGTTAAATTTGATGAAACTAAATTCGTCTATTTTTTATTTGTTACCTGTGCTTTTGGTTTTTGAAATGAAACCATTGCCTCATCCAGGTCTGGGATGGTTAATATTGAGTGTCAACTTGATTGGATTGAATAATGCAAAGTATTGTTCCTGGGTGTGTCCGTAAGGTATTGCCAAAGGAGATTAATACTGGAGTTAGTGGACTGGGTGAGGCAGACCCACCCTCAATTTGGGTGAGCACCATCTAATCAGTTGCCTCTGAGGCTAGAATAAAGCAGGCAGGAGAAGATAGAAGAGCAGACTTGCTGAGTCTTCCAGCCTTCATCTTTCTGCTGTGCTGGATGCTTCCTGCCCTTGAACACTGGACTCTAAGTTCTTTGGCTTTTGGACTCTTGGACTTACACCAGTGGTTTTTCAGGGGCTCTCAGGCCTTTGGCCACAGACCGAAGGCTACACTGTCAGCTTCCATACTTTTGAGGTTTTTGGACTCAGACTGATCCAATACTGACTTCCTTGCTCCTCAACTTTGCAGACGGCCTATTGTGGGACTTTACCTTGTGATGGTGTGAGTCAATTCTCCTTAAGAAACTCCCTTTTATATATACATATATTGTATTAGTTCTGTCCCTCTAGAGAACCCTGAGATTCACATCTATGTTTCCTTCTAAGAGTTTTATTGCTTTAGCTCTTACATTTAGATCTTTGTTTCATTTGTAATTAATTTTTATAAATTATATTATGCAACGATTACACACAGACATCCAGTTGCCCTGGCACTCTTTGTCAAAAAAAACTATTTCTTCCTCCATTGAATGGTCTTGGTATCCTTGTGAAAAATTAATTGACCATGGATATGGAGATTTATTTCTGGAATTTTAATTCTAATTTACTAATCTATATTTCTAGCTTTATGCAATGACCACACTGTCTTCATTACTGTAAATTTGTATTAACTTTTGAAATCTGGTAGTGTGTTCTTGGGGTACCTTGCAATTTCTTTTGAATTTTAGAATTAGCATTTTCATTTCTGTATTATTATCTTAACAGTATTAAGTCTTTCTTTCTGTGAGTATAGGATTGTTTTCATTTATTTAGATCTTAATTTCTTTCAACAGTGCTTGTAATTTTTAGTATACAAGTCTTGAGCCTCCTTTATTGAATTTATTCCTAAGTATTCTTTTTTTTTTTGAGATAGAGTCTCACTCTGTCACCCAGACAGGAGAGCAGTGGTGCTATCTCAGCTCGCTGCAAGTTCTACCTCCCAGGTTCATGCCATTCTCCAGCCTCAGCCTCCTGAGCAGCTGGGAACTACAGGCACCCGCCACCACGCCTAGTTAGTTTTTTGTAATTTTAGTAGAGATGGGGTTTCACTGTGTTAGCCAAGATGGTCTCCATCTCCTGACCTCGTGATCCGCCTGCCTCAGCCTCCCAAAGTGCTGGGATTACAGGCGTGAGCCACCGCACCCAGGTGTATTTTATTCTTTTTGATGTTATATAAGTGAAATCATTTTCTTAATTTCATTTTCAGGTTATACATTGCTAGGGTATAGGAATACGATTGATTTTTGTATGTCGATCTTGTGTCCTGCAGCTTTGCTGAACTTGTTAGTCCCGATCATTTTTTGTAGGTTATTTAGGGTTTTCTATAGATAAGAATAGATTACCTATTGAGCACCTACGGACACAAATTGGGAACAGACACTGGAGCCTACTTGAAGGTGGAGGGTGGGAGGAGGATGAGGATTGTAAAACGAACTATCAAGTACTATGCTTATTACTTGTGCTTGAAATGCTTGTTCCCTGGTGCTATAAAGAAATAGCCCTTGAACATAAATTTAATTTCCTCAGCAAGGCCATTTTTATACTTTCTGCAGAAAGGGTACACTTGACAGCAGTTTTACCATGAGAGTACACTGAACAAAGGAGATAGGGTCATTTATAACCTGATGCATCCACCCTACTGCTGTGTCTGGTTTCTATTGGCTGGAACGGGACCTCATATTCTGTCTTTGTCCCGATTGGCTAGCAACTTAGAACTTTTTAAAAGAGGCAAAAGCAGAGGAGAACAAAGGAAGAAGGAAGTAACTTGTGGAATGCTGAGAAAGGTAAAAATACCTTCAAATAAGGAAGAGGAACAGGCTATGACCTAATGCTTGCTTGGACTAGTATAAGCATGCCAGGGCAAATATTTAGGCTAAACTGTGGGAGCTAAGAACATAAGTACATTGATTTCTTTATCACGGCTAGCAGATATTTAAGAATGTTAGCACAGGTCTTTGAATACATTTTGCTTCTAAGAGAAGTTACTATTTATTCCTAATTAGATGGGGAAGAAAGTCTTTGAAGAGGAACCTCTACTTTACTTTTTATACTTGGGTGACAAAATAATCTACACCAAATCCCTGTGACCTGCAATTTACATATGTAACATGTATACCCTTTAACCTAAAACAAATTTTTTTAAAAAAGAATTTGTTATCTACAAACAGAGAGAGTTTTACTTCTTCCTTTCCAATTATGATATCTTTTATTTATTTGTCCTGCCTAATTGCCCTGCTAGAACTTCCAACACAATGAGGAATGGAAGTGATGAAAGCAGACATCCTTGTCTTTTTCCTCATCTTTAGGGGAGAGTTTTCAGTCATTCACCATTAAGTATGATGTTAGCTGTGAGATTTTTTATAGATTTATTTTATAAGATTGAGGAAATTCCCTTCTATTGCTAGTTTGTTGAGTCCTTTTTTTTTTTTATCATTAAAAAGTGTTGAATTTTACCAAATGCCTTTTCTGCATCAATAGAGATAATTACGTATTTTCCCCTTTATCCTGTTAATATGGTTTATTACATTGATTGATTTTCAGGTATTGAATAACCCTTACTCCCATTTTGTAGGCAACAAAATTGAGATTCAGAGAGGTAAAATA